GACTTGAAAATTTTCAACAGTTGAGATTGAGAGACTGAAGAAAGATTAGTGACGAGTTTGTTATTAGTACATGTAGTAACACTATATACTGGTGCATTAGGCCTTTCTCAGTGCCTCCTTAACAGAGTCCGAGCTGAGTTTCCGGTGTAATGCTTTGGCCTTCCGGCACCTTTTGACCTTTGTCTTTCCCCTTCGGCAGCAGTATTCTGTGCTTGAAAGAGGATTTCTGAGAATGTGAGAAGTGCTGCTTCATCCTGTATATCTCCCTCTTCTTCCACACTGAACTCCATATCATCTTCAGAATCACTGCAGCTGGAGTCCTCCTCAGAGTCAGAGACATCTTCGACTGTGGCTTTGCGGGACTTGGAAAGTGCAGACTGAATATTTCTGAGACGAGCCTTATTAGCTTTAGACTTTACACCCATCGAGAGATGCTTTATGTGTGTAATATCACTGATTTTTGCTGCCTTCTCCTCCTCGGTCCTGCCCAGGCACATATCACGTGATGTATTATATAAGCGGCCAAATGTTGGTGTGCCGAAAACTTTAAAATCATTCCCTTGCATCCCATGGCCTTATAAACCACTTTCTGACTTTATAGAACAAAATTTTTCGGAGGATGAAAATCTCCTCCAGTTTTGAATATTTTTTATTTCTGCTTCCTGGCAATTCAATTTATGCTACTCATAGATAGCTCCTAGGATCCATATACATTAGAAACAAATATATGTGTCCATAATTTGAGCAATGGCGAGGCTCTCAATGTGCTGATGTAAGCGGTGCTGGATAAGAGTGACGCCTATCTTAGTAGAACGTCTCCCATGCGAAGGTCTAACCGACACGGAGGTGGCCAAATAAGGAAAGGTTTAGGTCCGCGTGAGTAATTTACGAGAGGTTGGCCATAAGGTCAAGTCGACATTGACAACAACATTTTAGAATTGAGCAGCACTTTAGGGCCGCAATGCGCATCTGCAAAACCATTGAAATGAATGGTTAAGTTATGTGCGTTACGGACACTTACGAATATGGCGGTCCAAACGCAACTTAATTAAATCACGTGCACACACAATTTTCACGCACGCACCCACAGCAGAATCATGCGCACGCACACAGAAAAAAACGCACGCAGACTCGACCATTGTTTCGAAATTACAAATTATGCAGTATTGTAGCTGTATTGGAAAATTAAATCAATGAGACATCAACCACTGACAACCAGGCTCTCAGCTCCTCAAGCTTATTCTCGACAAATCTATCTTCCATCAAGAGACACCCTGTTTCCTTCACATTTGTGATGGAAGATTTGCAGCAATCACTGCAAATTTGAGGGATCTCGAGTTGCACAAGGATATCCTGGCCAGAATAGAAGACATCTGAGTGTTGTGACATCTCAGCCGGGCCAGCTTTGCAACCTGTTTCCCACCCATCAACACATGTCAATGGTGTACAATGACTGGTCTTGGATAAGCAAAGCCCAAGCCAGGCAGAGCATTGTGAGGCAGATCACATTCTTAGCACCCACTGCAGTCACCCATCTCCTAGGATCAGAGTCTGTTAGCCAGGACAAGAGGAACACTAGGATGATGGGGATGGCAGCAGTTTCAAACCTGTGAAAGTTCTCATCAGGGGGCTACTGCTACCCCAACTGCACCAACCTTCTTGTTCTAACTAGGATAATGCAACTGAGCTTATATATCTAGTGGAAGTACAGGTCCTGTCACATGACTGCAACTGCAAAATGATGTCCAGCTAGGGAACTGCATGGGTAAACCCACAGGTATGGGCAGTCAGACCTGTACCTGTACCTGGAGATATACCTGTACCCATGGTGCAGGTGCAGGTTTTCCTGTGGGTATCAGCATAATGGACCCGGGGTATTACCCACCAGGGGTATACCCGCGGATCACTCAATGAATAGGACAAAGTAATGAATAGCATGAGATAATGACAAAAAAGTGATACTATTCTACCTCAACATTGATTCTATCCCAACCCTCATCCATTGCTTCCTCTTTGCCAATGACAATTGGGAGCTTGGAGATGCTAATGACATCCTCAGATTTGACAAGGCCCAATTCACTCCAGAAGCCAACACAAAGCAGCATGTGTGTCGACTGTGCTGATAAACGATTTCTGACATGTGACAGGATGAAGCGTCCATGACTGAAGAGTCATTTGACATCTACAGATGTTGCTATAGGCAATGTAAGCTTACAAGGTATTATGAAAAGTTGCACTACATACCAGGGATAGTTACATAGTCAATGGCCATGCATGACAGCCAGGGGAATGATTTCTGGTGTTCACGCCACCAAGTGATAGGGTTGGTAACATACTCTACGTCTGTACTAAGGTAGTGGTTGAGTTCAGAGCCTGGGTTGGCAGGTTGTGGGGCTGTGAGTGCTGGGAGGTTGTCAAAAATGTTGTCGCTCTAAGAATTATTTAGTATGAATGCTGAACAAGAATTGAATTGAAACATACCATCCATACATCATTGTTTGACTCCAAAATGTCATCCTCACACCCCAAATCAGAGCCGTCATGGAGAGACAGGTGCGAACATTTGAATTCTTCATGCACAAGTTGCTCTGTGGTTTCAACCCAGTCATCTTCCCAATGTGCTGCCTTGAAGTATGATAACTTATGTTGGGGATGTAACACTAGTATAATGATATAAAGCCGTCAGTAGAAAGAAAACCTGCAAACATTGAGTAGAACTTACCCATAGAGATTCAATATGTGCAAGACCTGTCTGTGAGCTGATAGTACTGGTCGAGTGTTTTTTTGGCAAGCCGAACTGCTGAATGAATTGAGGGTAAATATTTCTTATTGCATGAATAGGACGTGAGCATCTTGTCAACGTGATTCATTGCTGGTATCACTGTCGCAAGGTTAGGTGTTGCATGCGAGAAGTAAAGTGTGGTGTCCTTTAGAATCCAACAAGAGCAAACAATATAACATAAGCATATGTGCCAAAGCATCAAACAAAGAATGCAAACCTTTAGTATATTGTGCAATTGCTGTAGTATTACCCACTCATTATCCTCCAACTCATACTTCCATAAACCCAAGTCTCACCATTGCATAACAGTATCTACAGCCTCATGATGTTCAAGTGCATAGTCCAACATATCAAACATTGAATTCCATTGTGTGGCCACATCATGTGGCATGAGGGTTTGGGGTTCCAACAAGTCCTTGAAGATGGCATGCCATGTGGGAAGGATGATAGTTGTCGAATGTATGGTCTTGTAGTATGCGAGCTTGCACACCTGGAGCAATTGTGTTCAATAGTGAGTTTTCTTTTGTTGCATGCACTTACTTTGACAAGCGCTAATTTGACTGGTCTAATCTCTTTGTTTAGTGCAGCCCGCTGTGGCGATCACAACCTGGCAGGCACATATAAGAAAAGTGCTCTACCAGTATAAGTGAGTCTTGGCTCTGCCTAGCTGCTACACTCGCAGAATGCAAGAACGTTCAACCCTAAAGGGGAAGCAAGGAAAGCAAGGATCCACGGAATGATGCTGTCAACCCAGGTGAATGGCGATGAAAGTGTGAGAAACGCGCTGAAGGTGCATGTGGGAAAGTGAAGTGCGAAAGAGTGTGAAGTGCGGGAAGGTTGTGCAAGCGGTGCACAAGTGAAAAAGATGTGAACTGAGACTGATGAGAGACGACTGATGATGATGATAGGACGAGAAAGGTGACTGAGGACTGATACTGATGTTGCCACTAGCTAGAGACTGCTGCTAGGGCCTATAGCGATGAATACATGCATTGCATGGGACTAACTGCCAAGTAACATGGTGGTAAGAAGATCGTGGTGGTAGGAAGCTAAGGTGGAAAGGTTGGGTGTAAAACGAACATGAAAGTATGTAAGTTCTACCTAAGCGCTCTCCCAGGGCCCGGAGCTGAATAGGGAGCGCTCTAAGTATGTAAGTGAGGTAAGGTGATGTAAAGTAAGGGTGCATAATGAAATGGGAAGTGTAATATGCCAAATATAGTCAGATAACGAAAAGGGACATACCAAGGGACTGGTTAGACGATGGATGGATGCTCCTGGATGCTGCATGATGCAGGGCGCTTAAGCACGAGAAAGCGCGCAAGGCGCGCGCATAGTGTGGGAAAGTAGCGCGCCTATGGTGCATTTCATGGGAAGTGGTGCGCTCCATGGTGGAAGTCATAGTGGATGATGGTGCGAGTTGTGCCGTGAAGGCCAGTTGTCAGAATTCGTAAAATGAGCCCATATGCACCTGCAGAAATGCGAGTCTCTACACCGCTCTTTCTCATCCAACAACTCAACCTCATCAACAAATCTGTCATTATCATCTACCTCGTCTGTCATCCCTGTGTCCTCTTCCATATCTACGCTAAGTTCTTCCAGCTCCATGTCAGTACTGTCGGTACTATGTGCCAATGCTTGGTTGGCCTCTTTTTTCTTCATGTCAAATTCCTGGATCAACGATTTGGCCACCAGGTTCACAGTGTGGAGGAAACATCTAGTGTGAGTGGTTGGTCCACTGAATTCCAGCACCTTACCACTCAGTTCATGAATCATGGTGTCATTGTTGGATGCATTATTGCAAGTGATGCTCAGGATCTGTGCAACGTGGTTTTAGTTGCATGTAAGTTTTTTCAAAATTTTTTGGATCAATACCTTTTCTGATATACCAAATTCTTCTAGCACATTTGCAAATGTCTCCATGAGCTCTTCACCGGTATGGGACTATGAAGTCCTCAGCTTGTATATCTCTATATAGGTGTTTTTTTTTACCTTCGCCACTTCAACAACATCTAACAGTATGCTTAGTGGTTCCCCCTTGTGCTTGAAGTGCACTGAAAATGCGACCAACACATGATGGTTGGGTGATGACCAACCATCAGTAGTAAAGTTTATTTTACTGTCATATTCCTGGTATGTTTTTAATATTCATTTTTTATTAATGAAAATTACTTACCTGTAACATTGTAGCAACATGCTGTCGAGTTCACACAAATACTTGTCACACATCATGTGAAACAGTGGAGGGGGAAGGTAAGTAATATTCTGGTCTCCCTGTCTTCATCAGTGACTGAAATGCACAATCCTTGATGATATTGAATGGATGCAGGCTCTCAGACACCCAGCACACTATTTCAGCCCTGAAGGCAGATGTTTCAGTCCAAGACTCAGATAAGACTTTGTTTGTACCTTGTTTCTGCTTGTGTATGTTGACGGTGTGAGCATGTAACTTTGTCACAACCCTTATAACGAATTAACGCAGGGGCAGAGACTAGGACTCAAACTAGGATATCACAACAAAGAGGAAAGGATAGCAGGGACGTCTTAGGATTGCTAGCAGTAAGCTAATACAAAAGAGGTTTGAACTGGAGAACTACTGACTATGATGAGCTACCTATATACATATATTGAAACGGAGACTGAATCTGAATCTGAACTAACTAGCCAATCATAAAATAGGAAAGAGAATCGTACGATGATCTAAATATAATTACACTATGATGTCATGGAACGTGTGATAGCTGTGCAAGGGTTCTCGAAGGTTCTAGAGTCACGTGACTTAATCACTTGTGAAAGGAAGTCGAAATCGGGGATGTCAGAGATAACCGTAGTGGGCGCTAAAGGAATAGAGAAGCTTGGATATGTAAAGGATGGGTTCGGGTTAGGGTTTGTGAATGTTATAGGTATAGATGCTGACTGAGTGCTAACAACAGGCGCTTGTGACGGGCGCTTAACGGGTGTTTTACGAGTATTCAAGAAAGAATAATGGTTTGTATTTGGAATTCGTGACAAACTTTCATTTTACCCTTATGTTCAAATGATGCAGTGATTGATCCGTTTTGCAGGAAACTACCAACTATCCTTTGGCGCACTTCATTGGCATCCTTGGCCTCATCCGCAGCTTTCAACACTTCATCACCCCAGCATGAACGCACATGCTTCCGCATGTTACCAGTGGAGTGTGCATCACCTTTGTCAAGGTATCATCACACTTTGGTCTTGCAATTCCTGGCTTGGCACTTGAAGTTATGGGCATGGCGGTGAAAAGAGAAATAGCGACTAGGCTGTTAGAAACTAGCACTACTTATCCAAATAGGCACGAGTGTAATCTTCGACCCAAGAAGACTGCTATTGAAGCAACTCCCTACTAATAAGCAAGGGAAGCAATAGCACAAAGGGCTTAAAACCTATAGTGACCTAAGACCAAAAAAACTAATGAGTAGTGCTATAGCGATCAGCTACAAGTGAGTTCCAACAGAGAAACATGTGTATAAGTGAGTCCCGCTATGCAAGGTGTATTATGCAATAGCGCTATGCAAACATCCGACTAGCGACAGCGAGAAGAAATCAGAGAGAGCAAAAATAGGAGTAAGGTAAGACAGTGCAAGTGAAATGCCTGATAGCGATGTAGAGACTCGCATTTCTGTGGGCTCATATGGGCTCATTTTACGAATTCTGGCAACTGGCCTTCATGGCACAACTCACACCATCATCCACTATGACTTCCACCATGGAGCGCACCACTTCCCGCGAAACGCGCCATAGGCGCGATACTTTCCCGTACTATGCGCAGCATTCCCATGTGCACGCCTTGCACGCTTTCTTGCGCTTAAGCGCACTGCGTCGCGCATCATCCAGGAGCATCCATCCATCGTCCAACCAGTCCCTTGGTATGTACCTTTTCATTATCTGACCATATTTGGCATATTACACTTCCCATTTCGTTATGCACCCTTACTTTACATCACCTTACCTCACTTACATACTTAGAGCGCTCCCTATTCGGCTCCGAGCCCTGGGAGAGCGCTTAGGTAGAACTTACATACTCTCATGTTTGTTTTACAACCCACCAGCTTCCTACCACCAGCTTCTACCACTCAGTGTCTATCACCAGTTAGTTCCATGCAATGCATGTGTCCATCATTGTTTTGAGGCCCTAGCATCAGTCTATAGCTAGTGGCACTATCAGTATCCGTCTAGATCCGCACTTTTCCTCTTATCAGTCTCAGTATATATCTTTTACACCTGTGCACCGCTTGCACTACCTTCATGCACTTTCGCACTTCGCTTTCCCGCGTGTGCCTTCAGCGCATTTCACCGCCATTCACCAGGGTTGATTAGCATCATTCCATGGATCCTTGCTTTCCTTGCTTCCCCTTTAGGGTTGAACGTTCTTGCATTTTGCGAGTATAGCAGCTAGGCAGAGCTGAGACTCACTTATACTGGCTGAGCACTTTTCTTATATGTGCCTGCCAGATTGTGATACCCACAACGGGTCATTTTATCATACTGTGTAAAAGTTCGGGAATGTATAGGCGAGAATAGTAGCGACACTGGCGAGGGCATGATGTAGCGACAGGTAATAAAACATGTAGCGCTGCAGAACATGAGGATACATGTAATAAGACCTGCAACTGATCAGTAGCGACATTTAAGGACTAATAACACACCAGTGGAGGTAGGTGGACATAGGCAGGACATGGGAGGATGGAATACCTAGGCGTCGGACCGGGCAGCGTGCTATGGGAGAAAAGTGGATCCAAAGTGGATAGCTTGGGAATGATAGCGCTGGTGACTAGCATTTTACTCTTTTCCTCTAGGCAGGGCAAAATATGCCTATGACACTCATACATGCCTAGCACTGGTATGATTGTCACAGTGGCCATCAATTTCGATAATCTGTGGTGTTGGATTGAAAAATGCGTAGACTGGTGAGTTCCAGTCCTTCATTAGGTGTGCTGTTTGGTACTCAATTAATGTAATGTTCACATCAAGGTTTCTGCACATACCGAGCTCTGCTTCTGCAGTCTCGTTGGCTTCCACACCAGCCTGTGATATGGTGCAACCGGTCTCAGTTTTGTCTTCATACCATGCCATCTCTTCCTCCTTGGTGCACACCACAGCATGCCAACTCGAGACTGAGTCTGGACATGGATGCTGTCCATGAAGCTGCATCAGAGCTATTTTTTGTCGACTGGCTTGTCTTCATCTGCAGATGCTGCACTGCTGGTGGGAGTATTACCAGGCAGCAGGTTTTTTTTGCCTTCTTAAGGTGTGTGTTCACGCTATCTCCATTGCCATTGTTTTGCTGCTTCTTTGATGAAGTTCTAAAACTCTTTTCTTCTAGAGCAGCATTGGCCTTCCCAGTCATTTTGATAACTCATTTCGCTGTAGCTGCAAAGGTGAGCTGCATGATGGGCAGTACCAGTGAGTGATGACGGTTCATGGGCGTGGTACGATGATTTTATATTTGTCTTTAGAGTTAAACAGTTGGCAAAGGTTGCACTTAGTAGTGATGCAAAGTTTGTGTTTGCAATGCACAGTTTGTACTTTGTGATATGGAGTTTGCACTGTATGTGTGATGCAATGTATGCAATGGTGTATATGATGTAATGCATATTGATGCAAAGTGATATGAAATTACAAAGGAGCACAAATCAGCACAAATGGCCACAGGACCAAAATGGAAATTGAGTCCTCAGCATATCCTGGCTGTTTCGAGCACAGCCAGTTCTTACTGGGCCTGAATCCTTGGCAATGTTGCATCTTCAATGGCTGATTCTTGAAAGGAGCTGGGTTCTAGCTATCCATGGGGTAGTAGGGCACATACTAAGACTCAAGGATCTTCATCCTGGGTTCCTACCTAATATTTGATATGCTTCTCAAGCTCAAGAGTAACCCTTGGCCTAGGAAATGAAAATATTTTATGATACACTACAATTCCTTCTTTATACTACTCTTTCCTTCATTGAGTTTCTTGATAGCCTGAATGAATTTTTTTTCTGTTTGTGTGTGTGTGTGTGTGTGTGTTGTGTGTGCACATGATTTAATTAAGTTGCATTTGGACTGCCATATATGAACACTTATGAGTCACAACCTCAGTAGTGCACTCATGCAATTGGTGGAGATGCTGAACACTGTTAAGACCGTACTCAAGTGGTATCGGATCTGAAGGGCTTTGGCCTCAGCTCATGCGCTGTGCCCCTTTCCCGAGTCTTGCCCCTTATTTCAGAGTGTTAGAGTATTGTGTCTATTGAAACAGATAAGTCTTGTAACAGATCCGTTAAGGCTTCTGGATATCGAACGTATAGAGTAACAGCTAATCCAGATCGGATCCAAACTAGAAACTAACAGACGAGGACTGTCCGAAGACAGAGGCAGATATATAGACTATAGGAATCAATCCTAAGTCTCGGAGTAGACAAGAGTATCGTACTCGAGTCTGGACGGATAATGGAGGGACTTAGAGTCCAGACAGAATGAGTGCAATCTCAGATGATATTCGAACTGATCTACTACAGCGCATGTACAAGGGTTTATATACTACGGATAACTAATGGAATGATCAATAAGCAAAGGCGCGAGGCTATGTACGAAGTATAAGCAAAGTATGTGCACAGCGTATCGGTAAGTCGGATGGATAACGAATCATAACTGGGAATGAAGTATAAGTTAAAGCGGATTAGTAAGTGTATCGGAAGTAAAGGATAACCGGTATACTGGTGTACAGGAATGCCAAAAGGAGATGAACGATAGTTAGAGTTATATGAACAGGACATGAAATAAGAATCAGATCGGATCTGTGGACCGGACAATGGATATGTCCATCGGATCTGGATCGGATCTGAGATCCAGATCTTCGGATCTGTACCTGGGAATATGGTATATGACAAACACCAATATTATGCACCATATCTGGCTGATAGAAATCAAGCCTGGTTATCTTTGCATCAGTAAGATGTGATATGCTCAGAGATACAATATGATAGATGCAATAGCAATTGATACATGCTGATTAAGCTACTGTCTATACAAATTTGGTACTGAATGTGTGATAACTCTCCTTGTCCACAAAATTATTCAGAAAGAAATGCTCATAGCTTTCCAAGCATGTTGCTGAGGACATGCTCTTGTCTACTGCCTCACCATACTCTGGAGGTCCTCTGGCAGGAGTGCGTGTAGGAGATTCCGGGTGTCGACAATTGAGGAGTTCAGATATGGTTTGAGCAGGTCCATGGTTACTAACGCGGTGTCATGCATGGTATGGAACTCATACCATGACATTGATAGACAGGAAGTAGCCACAGAGAGTACACTAAGGTGTACCTCATTGTATTATTATGATTGGTTCCATTTTGACAGATTTACTTGTATTTATATTTCCAGTATGATACTTTTCATCTTTCCCCTTTTCTTTTATTTTATTTTGTGTGGTTTATTCAGCCACCAGTGAGCCACCAAGATGTGTTAGTAAGCATGTCATGTGATAGGCGATATTCTGCTTTGTAAGGATCCTGCATGATTTGTCACGTGGCTTCCATTTGTTTCCATTTGTTTCTATTTGTTTCAGGCTCATTCAGCCACAGAGTCCTTCAGTGAGTCACCAGATGTGTTTTTAAGCATGTCATGTGATAGGCAATAATCTGATTTGTAAGGATTTGTCATGATTTGTCATGCTTTGTAATATTATGAACTTTATTTGTAAACTACTTTGTAAGCAGCTGATTCAGCACTGCCAAATGGCATGGTTAGTAAGCCAGTGACTTACTAATGCCATGATGAGTCATGCTTAGTAAAATGGCCTCCCAAAAGGTATAAAAGGAGCCCATTCTACACTGAGTAATAATACTTCCCACTTTCACTCTTCTCTCAAACCGTGAGAGTCCGTAAGACTTAAAGTGCAGGCCACGAGTGCCTTGAAGTAAGATAAACATCGTATCAGAGATTAGTTGTATACTACCTTACAGGGGTCGCTTATATAACAATCTATTTATATACTACTTGTTGTGTGCTACCTTTCAGGGGCTGAGTATACAACACCAGAACAGCTTTCTTACTAGGCTTTATGTATTTAAGACAGACTCCATTACTTGTTGTGTACTACCTTTCAGGGGTTGAGTATATAACACCAGAACAGCTTTCTAACTAGGCTTCACATATTTAAGACAGACTCTCTCTTTCTTAGGAAGGGAGACACGAGAAC